AGTCCTGTTATTGGCCGCTGTAGAGTGCAATGTTTAGATCATCTGTAGGTTACGATCTTAAACGTTGGTTGTTGGCGCAAGCTTTTATGTGGATTGCTCCTTCTTTCCTGTCAAACATATACCCTCTTTATCTCTTCTTCGTTTATGTGTTTCTTACTTTCTTGTAATATTTCTAATCTCCGGCATTTATATGATGTAAGTGTGCTGCAAGTGTTGCAAGTGCCGTAAAACGCTTACTTAAACAAAATAAACGATCTTTAATGTAAGTATGATGTTAGAAACAGACAGCAAGCCTGAAAGATGTCAGAAGTAAAGTGTTCATGTGGATGTGTGGCATCCTTCTTTCCAACCAAACATCTATCGTCCTTATCTCTCTCCGTTCTTTTCTTGATATGTTATTCTCTATTAATATCTCTATTTTTCAACACTGAAACGATCTACTTGTGTTGCGGATGACGTATAAATCGTACCGAAACTAAAACTGAAACCGTCCTGCTTATTATTGGCGCCGTTGATCTTGTCGATGCGTGTCTCCTTTCCTTAGCTCCTTTTCACTTTGATGATGAACCTTTTCATTAAAATGCATTTTTGTTTCTCGGATCTTAATGATAAATAAATCACACTTTATTGATACTCATTGGGGGGTTGGGGGGGGATTTGACTTGTAATTTCAAACATACACACTTGAATGCATAATATTTAAACGCACATTTAAAGAATGCCAAACACTCAAAACTACATCAGTGCTGCTGTTGATGTTGCTGTGTTACTGCCGCTATACTGCCGCTATACTGCCGCTATCGCCACACACAGGGAAGAACACATCCGTTGGCAAACATGAAGGTACGTCACGTTTCAAACAAGAAGGATGTAACAGAAATCACTGGATGGAAATAGTACAGAAGAAAACTGCGTAGGTGCAGCCGGGAGCTGCATGATACCGCAGCAGTTGCCCACGCACGGTGTCAAACTCCAGCGCACCTCCTTGGCACTGATGGCCTTTGCTGGGAACAAACGTGTGTGAGCTACCAGAGCTTCGAACAAGTGGGGAACTGAGTGCAAAAAAAAAAACTGTTAATGATTACAAAGATGCCTGTGCTGGTTGATTACTCGCACTTTTTTTGTTTATTTTATGTCTTGGTGGTTTCAGGTGCAGCTTACTACAGCGCACATTGCACTCAGGGAACCGTAGCATTTGTGAATGAATGGCACGCATGAAAACAGAAATCTCTGGGTACTGTTCTTTTTTTCTCTCTCGGAGATGCAGATATGAAATAAATAAGAAGGTGAAATTTGCTGCTCATTCGAATCGTTTTCGCTCACAATGATGTTTGTTGGATTGATTTTTTTTTTTCTTCAGTCTTTTTCTGAGAAGGGATTGACGTAAACAAAAATATCTGACGACGCTTTGCTTCTTTTACTATGCCATGGGATTATTTCGACGAATAGAAAATAACAACCAAAAATGTGAGTGAGGGTTCTGTTCATTGTCTGTCGCTTCTTTACCACCGGTCTTGTCTTCCTTAAAATCTTGTTTGTAACTTCTCAAACAACCGACAGGAATTCTTTAACCTTTTTTCGCCCCCACTGTAGCACCGCTAATCTTCGGCACTTTTATGACATTATTGTTTTGCAAGTGCCGGAAAACTCTTACTGAAGACACAATTTAGACCATTCACGACATGGGCTTCGGCCTGTCAAGGTCAACTTGGGCTGAGAAGGATGCAAAGTTCCAACTGAAAGACTGATACTTTGTAAGAAGTGTCCACACACGGAACTCGAACTGGGACCTTTTCCTTGAGAACGCAAAACGCCTAACTGCAACTCCACAGACACCGGTATTCTGTAATTTGAGTTTTTTTAGCTCTCTAATGACGTGGCCTATTGCTATCAGAGATGGACGTTAAAGTTAAAGTCATAGTTCTGCTCCTGAAATAAGTTCCATTTTGTAAAAGAGGCGTTTTCCCCCAAATTATACCTTGTATACGTCGTGCTCTCTGGGACGAACGGGATGATGCAGCCTTCAGAGGTCTTTTTGTGTGAAAGAGGTACCAGTTACGTGTGTTAAGTCAACTATTTCTTTCTTCTTTCCTTTCAGTCGTGGCACTGGTCAGCCTGTCTTTCCCCTTTCTATTTGATCATCCTTATGACCCTTCCTCGATCCACTTTTGATTAGTGCAATATAAAATATTTCTTTTCATTATACTTATTTCTTTTAGTGTTCAATTTTCTCCCCCGCCTCCACTGTTGTGTCTCGTGGGGTAAGGGAAACAGTAAGGCTATCCACTAGAGTAAGAGGGCTTTTCACTAACTAATGTGGGAAAAATTATCTCTGCTTCTCCCCCTCCCCCCCCCCCCCCAAGCCCCTTCCAGTCGTAACTGGAGACGTCACTCCATCAACTCTCCTCCCCCTCCCCTTTTTCCTATTTATTTCTTTTCTTTTCCGTCGTCCCAGGATTGCGGCGTCGCTTGGCGCAGTTGTTGCTTCCGCGTCGTCCGCTTCTGCGAGTGTGAGCGGGTCTCCCCCCTGAGCCCTGAACGCTTTTGTGCGTAGTTTCTGCTACTGGTGTTGTGAGTGTGAGTGTGTGAGTGAGTGACTCGACTGCCGGGGGAAACTTGAAGCGCGGCGGTGAGCGCGCTGGATGTGGTGGTGGACCGACCCCCCTCTTCTTTTTGACTCCTCGAACCAGAGCGCCGAGTGCGTTCGTTCACACCAAAGCGTTTTCTGTTTCTCAAAACTCAAACTCAAACCTGTTTTCCCTCGCGTGGAGAAGTACGTAGCACAGAGTTTCTCAGACCTGCTGCTTGCTGCTGTTGCTGTTGCTGCCTCCCCCTTCACCGGGATGCGAGGTGCCGTCGCCGCACATCTGTTGTGAGGTCTCTTGGCTTCGTGACCCCCGCATCCGTGGGCGGTTTCAACACGTGCTGTAATCGCAGCTACCTCTTGTTTGTTGTTTTGATTCGAAGGAGATTTTGTACGACGGTGAATTCCCGCCGAGGGCGTTTATCAAGTGTTCTCGACTCGCCGAGTGTTTAGTGTTTGTAATGTGTTTTTCACGGGAGTGATCTACTTGTGTGTTTGTTGAATCGCGTCGTCGACTGCTCTCCCACGGCACTCTTGTTCGTTTTGTTGACTGTTATTCGGCGCGCCTTTGATATATGGAATTCGTCTTAGAGTCTGGATTAGATGTCTTCGTTTGAGTGGAGGCACCTGGTTTGATAATCTTTTATGGTTAAAAATATACATAGATCTAATTAATAAGCCATAAATACTAGAGGCGCCGTGTTGTAATTGTCAGGGCAGTGTAGTGTTTCCATGTGTCATGTGACATTTATTATCAACGGCATGGCTTTTTAGTAAACCAGTATCAGTAGCCTAAAACGATTTAAAATGGTCTTTGCACCCACACTTTTCAATAGAATCTTTAGGATGGGCATCACACCTGTCTTATTTTCATATCTTCGCCATACAGAGTAGTTTGTTCTCGCGTCTGTTAACGTTTCGTTTTCATATTCTCTCATACCGCGTTGACTGCAAGCATTGTGCGGGGGGAGGGGGCGGGGGCTATGGTGGTAGATCCTTTCAATTCCCCCCCCCCCCCCTTCAGCCTTCTTCCCCGTCTTTTTTTTTAGTCTCTCGGTCTTATACTTTCATTTCTTCGCTTTCATTGTATTTTCTCATCGATGTGCTAGCGAGTTGTTGTAGGTCTTGCCTGTTTATGGGCCCACGTTTCTGGCTTTCTCAGATCTCCCTTCCACAAAAGTACGATTATTTTGTCGATCTGCTTCTATTATCTCAAGCTAAGCATAACTTTTGAATAGTTGGCCAGAAAATCCAGTCCTATCAGCGGTTTCCAAATTATTGATGAAATTTTGTCTTTGTCGGCGTACTTTTCCGAAAATAAGACCGTAACCCCCCCCTCCCCCCCAAACTAGTAAAAAAAACCGTGTTGCTAATGATGGAGACAATTTGTTTCTTCCTTGCTTCTCAATTTTATTTGTATGTGTGTACTTTTAATTTGAATGGCGAAACAGATGACCTGCTTATTTTATAAGTGACATCCTATTTCCTATTGTAATTTTGTTAGCCGTGCTCTATTTGGTTCCGTTTATCGAGATCGAGTCACTCCAGATTGTCGCTCAGCGGTCAATGGGAATAGCTCAAGTTATAACTACCGCATTGTTGGTTGATCATACAAGTGTGTTGAAACTTTTTCTATTTTATTTGGTCATTTTTCTTCCTCATTCTTTGTTGGCTTATTGTGGCTGTGACATGAGGGGGGCGAGCAGGTTTGCTTAACGAACGATGGGTGAATGGTCGCATGCTGGTCAGAGTATTTTTTTTTTCTATTTTGATTATTATCATTAATTGGTGGACATCTTGTAATTGCTATTTTTTTCATTTAGAAATTTCATTGATTGATTTGTTCACGATTCGTTTTCATATTCTGTGACGTCTATTTAAAAAGTCTCGTTTCATGATTTTTAACTTGTCAGCTTTGTGTTGTAACTTCAGGGTTGGTTTTTTTTTTTTGTGTGTGTGTGTGTGGGGGGGGGGGGGGGGGGGTATCTGAATTAGATTTTGTTTTTGTTACCAGTCCATGATTTTTGAAAGCTTTTAAAACTATCTGGAAGATACATACGTTGACTGCTCTCTTCACATTGTCCCTTTTATAAAGACCGTTTTATACTGTCTGGCTCCATACTATGCACATTGTAAAAAGCCGTGTTTATGTCCATGTTTTCCTTCTCTGACGGACCCCTATTCGTGGTTGGTTACAACACGCTCCAAGCGTACAGTTCCAGATGGTCGTATTGATGACAAGGAGGCATGAAACAGATGCGGCGTTAGGTTCTTGCAGATAAATAGGTATCACGTGTCTGTACTAATATAGGTAGTTTAGGAGCAGCGTCGAACTGTTGACTAGTTTCAGTGAACTGCTGTTGCGAGTTGAACCTTTAGCTGAGAGACGAAGCGAAGCGGCCGCTGGTACCGATCATGTTTCGCCGGGCAAGACGCTCTGACACGCTGCTGTTTGGACAACTTAGGAGCCACCCGGGGAGTCAGTCACGCGCCATTTCTTGGCGTGGCCCAGATAGTCTCTGTCAAGAGAAAGCCAGGGGTTTCGGTTCGATTCTTTCCTCTTCCGCGTCGGTTTCTGGTTGCGATATCTGTCAGGGTATTGTATAATGAGATAAATTGTGCTTCATCGATCGCGTTCTGAGGGATGTATCTTGAAAATCGGCCTCTCTGAGATTCTAAATCGGTGCTGTCTCGATATCTGATACAATGTTTTATGTCGCCTACAGCTAAAACAATATCGATTGGAATGCCGGAACAAATGAGAGCAGGATTGCTGGAATTACTCAGATTAATTGTTTACTGTCGTACTGTTATGTTCTTTCATAGCGAGTGGAAAATTTGACTCGACAGCTTCAAGTCTAATCATTTTTTTGGCACCAGTGTGTCATTTTGGTTTGATATGAAAGTCAAAAAGTAATTTCTTGTTCTGTTCAACCCCCCCCCCCCCCCCCAAATCCCTGCACACTCTCTCTCTTCCCCCCGTTTGCCTGCGTTAAAAAAACAAAAACAAATATGTTATCGCTCGCATTTTTGTCTGTCTTGCCTGTCCGTCATATTGTTTTGCCCCCCCCCCCCCCATTCCGCTCCTTTCTACTGTCTCCTTTTTACCTCATTGTTCTTACCTCACTCTTCCCCTTTACATTTCTTTGAGGTTTGTGTTGTGCACTCTTCTGTAAGCTGCTTCAGCTGAACAGCTCTGCGTGTCTTGTCACTGCTTACATCAGTGCGTCATTTCCCATAAGCTCTCAAGCTACCAACACCCCAACACCCCTTTCTCTTCCGGCGCCATTCGCTGCTGAATCTTGGAGAGCTGATACAATAATAATGAGACGTCAGAAGGTGCAACAGGTAGCTCTATAGCTCTAAACACACCGGGATGTGAACCCCGTCTGTTTATTTATTTCGTATTTTGTCTTTGGCTAGTGTTGCTTTTTCTTCCCCGCTACCGATTATTTTCCCCCTTCCGTTTTTGCTCTCTTATGTTTTCGTTCCACCCGGCCGGGTTCCAATATGCTATTCGGCTACTATTTCTGTCTACGTGCCCAACCTTGCTGACACTTGCAGCAGAAAAGCAATAACAAATCCTCTTTCGTTCACACAAACTCTTCCCTCTCCCAAACATACATGATGTTCTCTTTTCCGTGGTCACGATGTCTTGTGCACTTTTACCTCCCTCTATTTTTAGTTTTACCAGCACACTCATACACAATTGCTGTCTCTGCTGATATTCATCCCAAGAAATTTGACGAAGTAACGTTAACCGGCCCGAACCGAAAGAAATCTGCAATGTGACAAAACTGTGGGTGGCTGGCGAGTGTTCTGTTGCGGTTTTCTCCTACTTTTCTACCATTGATGAAACGATGTCGTCAGTCGTCCTGAACCCCCCCCCCCCCTTTCTTTGAACGTTGTTACTCTCAACATGATGTAGTAACGCCTCACTCTTATCATCGTCTCTTATATTATCATGACCTAATAACTAATAGAATTGTATGGAGTGCCTTTACTCTAACCAAAGCTAAAGTTAACAAAGTGGGCGGTTGGCAGGTGCTCTGGTGTGGTTTGCTCCTTTTTTACTATTTAAAAATCTCCTTCTTTTTGTGTTTGTTCCTCTTTTGTAACTCCCCTGATCTTCGGCACCTATATCACGACCTTTTTGAGTTGCAAGTGCCGTAAAACTCGTACTAAAACTAGAAGTTAGCAAAACCTAGTACGAATGAATAAATTTCCTTAATAAGA